TGGCTCATTGGTTAAGAGCCCCTGGGTTCACTCTCTAGTACCCACTCCAAAAAAAAAAAAAAAATCTAATAAGCCCCTGAAGGGGCCCAGGGTACATAGAAAGGGCTACTTTTGTGTGTAGGTCCCTTCTCACTGATGAGGTCCCATCAAGGTCTCAGTATTTATAAAAAATTTTAAAGGGCTGGGGGTGTAGCTCAGTGGAAAAGCATATGTTTAGCATGTGTGAAGCCCTGGGGTTAATCTCCAGTATATATGCTTGAGTGCGCATTTGCGTGAATGTGTGCACACGCAAGTTTTAAAAGCTAAACACAGTATGTTGCATATTTGCCAAATGTTTAACCTGCCTGGGAATCTGTGAGTGTCCTTGAACAATCTTAGCTCTCAATAGATGAACCTGTCAAATTCTAATGGTGGATATCTTCTAGTAAACAGAATGAAACTTATAAACAGACAGTAAAGCAATGAACAATAATGTATGTCCAGTGGTGATTCATGCCAGGAAGAGAAACAAAGCATAGTAAAGAGCTAGAGATTGAGGGTGGGGATTGGTATCTCATGTAGGCTGGTCATGGAAAGTGCCTGATAAAGTGACATAGGATTAAAGACCTTAAGGACCTGAGGGAGTGAGCCACAGAGATCTGAGGCAAGAACCTTTCAAGCAAAGGAAATAGTGAATTCATTGGTCCTGAGGCAGGATGTGGCTAGCATGCTTGAGAAATGGTGAGGAGTCTTTGTGTGCTGGGAAACACTGGATATGAGGGAGGCATTTGGGAGACAGGCAGAAAAAAATGGCTTTTACTTGGGGGAAATGTGATAGCTTTGGAGGATTTTAAGGCAGGGTTGTCCATGATTTGATATAGGTGTATTTTTTTGTTTTTGTTTTGCAGTGATGGGATTGCATTCAGGGCCTCATGCATGCCAGGCAAATGTTCTACCATGAGCCACATACCCAGCTCCCTGACTTAGGTTTTCAAAGCAACATTTTGGCTGCTTCAGAATGACTGGTTGAGGCAAGGGCAGAAGCAAGGTTACCAGTTAGCAGGCATTGGTGGGAATCCAGAAGAGATGATGATGGTGGGAGATGGTGAAAAGTGGTTAGATTTGGGTATATTTTGAAAGTAGAGTTGACAGATTTGCTTGCGGATTAGATGAAGGGTTTGAAGGAAAGAAAGGTTTTGGCCTAAGGAACCAGAAGGATGGCAGATTAGTGTTTGGAGCCTTGGTAGGGCTGGGCTCACAGGTATTCTTTAGTCAGGTGAAACAGCTTGGGCTCACACACAGAGGCAGGAGAAAGCGAGAGGCCCCAGTATGATTAGGATAAGAGGTACCCTGGGAAATGGCTGGAGTTGGGTGGAGACCAGATCAGAATGGAGCTCCCTGTGAGACTGAGCAGTTGACCTCTATCTTGATGATGGGGATTTTGAGCAGGGACATTTTTAATCCAATGTGTGTTTCACAGCAACCATTCTGGCAGAGTGCATTGGAGGAATTAAACTGGAGCAGGGAGAAGACAACTGAAAAATGTTGTTTTGCCTGGGCCCATTGGGACAGCTATTTCCTGTACACTGCTGGGAATATTTTGGGCCAGTTTTTGCTAATGGTTTTGAGCACCAGGTGTCTCATGAAATGAAACACTGGACAC